TCGCACCTGTATGATGAACTGAAAACTTGGGTGATGGGTACGTAAGGAACTAACGATTTGCACATATTGTATCCAAACGATCCAGGGAATCCATATGGATTTTCAATGGGTTCGGGGAAGACCTTGGTAGGCAGTAGATCGACAACCATTTCAATTTCGTCCAGGACAGCAGATTTTACCGGCTCAGCATTTAGGTTGTCACTGGAGGCGCTGCATTCGTCAAGTTCCATCGCTGTTTCCGTTGAGTTGACCACATCGTCGGATTCGGGCTCAGGCTCAAATGCACTTAGCGGTTGGTCTTCCCCGCTCAACGATATCTCAAGATTCTCCTCCGACAGCAGGACAGACGTCTCCTGAACATTACTGCCACTGTCAGATCGTTCACTCTCTATTAACCTGCTAACTTTCTCGATGACATCGATAAGACTTGACGAGACCTCTAACATTGTGACATCGTTAATTTTGTGATCATTCTCGTTAGCATTTGGATATGATTCGAGCAAATCCATTTTTATCTCCTTCTTTGGTGCATGTTCACCGTTAGCGGTAGGATTATCACTAACTTCGTTGCATTCGATGGCCTTAATGTCAGGCTTACATGGTGTCTTGATGTTATTAGAATCCTCTTCTTTCAGCGCTTTTGAAGCTTCCAGTGCGTCGGGTAGTTCGCGTTTTACTTCAGTAACTCTCTTGCTGTCAATTTCTACTACTTGCAACTTCTGATTCCGTGAATTATCCAAGTTTTTCCTTATCACTAACGGTACACCAGATTTTGCATCGATCACTTGTTCACTATTGTCATCGTTTGCATCTAGTTCAATTCTTAGAGAATCCTCATCTCGCTTTGGTAGCTCACCCCTCACTAATTCCTTCAAGTTCGTCTGTTCTCGCTGTTGCACACACGAATCATCATCATCGTCATTTTGTCCAGATGTAAAGGGCTCCTTATCTGTGACCTGTTCTGGCAGAGCAAGAGGACTCACTGATGCCGGTGTTGCCGAGGCGGGCGGTTCTAGAAAATATTTTTCTACCGCACTTTCTAACTGAAGCACCCGCTCGATCTGGTTTGGAGCTACAACAATGGTAAGTTTGCGCACGATAGCAAGTATTTTCTCCAACACCGGCCTTTTGAAAAGACAGACTTCGGCTAGACGATAGCGAGTTCGTTCGCTACACGTTTCCAAAGCCCAGAAAAAGCGGCTAAGATTGGTAATACACACTTCGATTGTCTCCTGTACATTAGACTCTTTGACATTTATCGTTGCTTCAACAAGGGTTGGCTTCGTGTTTTGAGCGCCGACATTGGAAAGAATATTGCTAATGCTGAATTTCATTTCGGTACCGGAAGCCGAATGTCGTCTCGTCGTTTGGGTAGTCGCTTGCAGCAAGCAACTCGTACTTAATGCACTAAAGCTTTGGGAGCGTTCTGTAGCGGATATGGATGCCGCAGATGAGGAAGACGTGAAGGCTAGCAGATTCGCAGGTGAGGCACACTCGACCGCCGCCACGGGGAATTCCATACGGAACACATCAGCATTGATATCCCCGCTAGGACTATTCCCCAGTCGCATTGAATCTAAAAGCAGCTCGGAGTCCGACTGCGATCGGCAAGCACCATTTGAATAGTCAGCGTTGCGCGATGAAGTATCATCTGTTTCGTCACCGGCTTTGTCATCAACTATTGCCTTTAGAACAGCCTCTAGAGTAGAGGACATCACGAAATCTGGCGGGGGCAGCTTGATCAGCGGTGCAGGAGGGGACACTTGGCGTCGCATTCTCCATATTCGGTTTTGAGGCTGCTTCACAATGACAGTTTGTTTGCTTAACTGGAAGTTCGTTTCTAGAAATTTATCCTGCTTTGATCTAGACGACTCTCGGACATCTCCACCGTGTGACCTGTGCTTTTGAGCCTTCTGACGCTCTTTTAACTGATTGGCTTGGCGTCTAGCGAACGACACGGTAAATGGTACTGTCAATGGACTCGGGATGCGGAGTTGAGATTCCCATAAAAGCGCAGCGCTGCCCCAGCCGAAGTTTTGCGTACCCAGGAGATCCGTTGCTTGCTCTGAAAGTTGCCACACAAAAATAGGTCTTAGCATCTTTTGAATTATTAGAAAAGTCGTTGCTCAGCGAATGACGCATTTCTAACATCTACAGTCCGAAGTACTACATATTGTTGTTATGATGACGGAATCAAAACATTAGAAGCTGCAGCATTCAGCATAAGCAAGTGCACCTACCTGATACGAAGGCAGCGTTATTGATAACGGCCTGCGACGAGTTTCCTTTTTTGGTCTTGGCCTTTTTCGCCTTCTTCTCATCAGCTGCTAGAGAATGTTTTCTTTCCTCATCACTCTTTCGCTTCTTACGGCCACTATCTACGGCTGACCCCCGGGTATCGCGAGTCGATGTCGGCGGCGATGGACTTTTCCGTGTCACCGGACCACAGGATGCGGGAGCTACTATTGGCTTAATTTTAATTGACGTGACGGCAGGATACTCTGGTTCTAAGCTCTTTGGCGTGGTGCTGCTTTTCTCGAACGTCGTGTGACGGTTGTCTCGTAATGGGGGTGAAGTAATCGTGAGCGTTTCGCTGGTGGTTGGGCTGGTATTTAGCTTAATTTTTAATACGGTCGGTGGTTTTCCGGCCACGGTTGAGGCAGAAGCTGTTGTTGGCGATAATACTACAGAAGGTACAATATGGCCAGATTTATGAGTGCCTCCATGGTGTGAGTGTCCATGGTGATGATGGTGCGTTGAAGAACCAGTTGACGAACTCGTAGACGTACACGGTGAATTTTTATGGTTGTTTTTGTGTCCTTGGTTAGTTTTGTGATGGCCGACAGGTGACGACTGCTGTATAGCTGGGCTCAATATCTGCTTGCCCGCTGCTGTTTTATCTTTTTCTACTGACAACGATGATTGCGGTGATGAGGAAGAGGATGCTGACGATGATGCTGTCGACGACGATGATGATGATGATGATGATGAGGGTGGCGATGATGATGACGACGACGACGACGATGTAACCTTGCTACCTACATTGCTATGCTGATTTCTTCCTACAGTAGTCTGTTGCATCTGGTAAGATTTCTGTGGAACCGTTGCGTCCACAGACACTTGTGAAGAGGTCACCTTGAGAGTTTGAGGTCGCGAAACAATCGCTTGATTCTTCTTCTGTTGGCCAACTGTCGACGCGCTAACTCCGTTAGCGGATTTTATCTGGACTTGGCCTGAGGATAGGGATGGAGAGTTTGCGATTAGGGCTTTGGAATGTTTTGTCGAATTTTGAGATGACACACATTGTACGTGACGACCTAGATTAGGCAACGAAGATATGTTCTTATCGGTCGCGTTACCTGTAAACGATTTCAAGCATAAAAGGAGCGTGAGTTAGGTCGAAAGGGTAAAACTTAATTTTAAAGTATTATTCTGAGAATAGCAAATTGACAGTTCCTACATGACAATAACAATTTCGGTTTTCCAGGCGTTGATGAGAGAAAGGCTAGGTGTATGTATTTTGTGTGTTCTCACCTTAGAACCTACCTATCCATTTATATAGAGATGGAACTCTATTTCTAAATGTTATTTAATTTTTATCGACTATAAAAATTGCAGCAGATTTGACCGAACAGTACGATGCAGTTGTACCGGGTAATTTTTGTACTGGTTTTCAGGTAAAGCCTAATGTGGCGTCTGAAATGAGAAGTGGTTTTGCTTTCTGTTGTTAGTGAACATTGTTACTTATGAAACTAATTTGAGGTATGTTAGTGTTATAGAGCGAAAAATGCAGTTTTTTTTTTTCCAAAAGCACATTGTATATCTGTGTCTTAAGGCAACTAATGCATATAGCAGTAATGTCGTTACAACGCCTGGATCTTCTTTCGTCGATCAGACCGCAAGAAAATACGTATCTATGAGATGATTGTACCATTGATGAGCGATTGATGTTGCAGTTGCTGTTGTTTGTTACTGGTTTGGTTTACATGACTACTATGGTTGCCGACAGAGGTATTTTGTTGTTGAGATGTTGTAAGCGTTCGGTCGATTGTTGTAGAAACGTTCGAATCCCAATTATCGGCCTCTTCTTCTTCCGTTGAATCACCTGTCGTTTCATGGTTACAATTTTCCAGTACGCCCGGGCCAAGCGCTAATGACTTGAGCTGCGGAAGTTGCCCAACCTGACCAGGGGCAATCATCGTAGCGACACCCCCCGCCCGCGAGTACGTTTTGCTCTTACTGGTATTAGAGCTGGTGCCGCCCTTTGTAGTGCTAACGTTGCCATTGAGCAATGCACCCCGAGCCATGTCTATACTCTTCGTGTCAACCTGCAGACGTTAACGGCAAATCGATATATTAGTATAGGTACGCGTGTAACAGATAAGAACACTAAGCGTTTGCAAAACTACTAATAAGTAACTACGTATAGTTAACTTGAATTATAAGCAGAAACTAATATGACCGACTTCAAAGTCACGCATTGTGGATGTACGCGTCGTGTCGCTTTTTCTCACAAATAATGATACTAATGGGCATCTAGTTAGTAAGTTTTACCTTATATTTTCCATATTGCACATTACTGCCTGACGACAATATTCCGCCATTGGCTATGAAGACATGCTTCCCGTTCACGTTCTGCTGCCGTGGCGGCTGCTGCTGTTTTAAATTCGAATTGCTTTTACTTTTAGCTGGTTCGAGTGGCGCCAGTGGCTCGTATAGTGCCTTAGCCTTACTACCCAGAGACGGATCAAATTCGACAAATCTAAAACTCAGCTTAAGCGGTCCTTCAAATTTGTAGTCAGCTATATAGCAGACGTCAATGAGGGTGAGGTCTGGATCAAGCAGCAGTCGATCCTTGTCTTTGTCCTCATTGCTATCTTTAGAATCCTTTGTGACGCCTTTATTTAGGTACGCTAACTTTGGCTTGTTGACGTTTACCTTCTCTAGATGGAGGTGTATAGCCAACGAAGCAGGGGGAGAGAACTTATTCCGCACAAATTTGATTATTACCCAAACCGGTACATTAGCTCGGCAATTCAAATACCTGAAATGTAGACATAAAAACATGAATCTATTACCACCTAAAGCAATTATTATGCGCTTTTCCTTATATCGAAGTTATTTCAATAGGATGCTGATAATGCGCCGACCATGTGAGATTGCGTCCTACAGCTCCACACCAATGGCGGTAATTTAGGTTAACGCTAGACAGCTAATTATGTCTAAAATAGTCACGTCTAGTCCCAGTATTGATTTTGGTTGAAATTATTGATGGACAATCAATAATAGACCGAGTGCAGTGCATATCTTACCCATAGAGAACATCAATAAATGTTTTATGCTGGTACCTAGCTTCACTTACATGTTAAGAAACTTCGGTCCTCCAGCCTGTTCTTGTCGATGCTCGAGTACAAGTGATATACAATCCTGTTCCGTGAAGATTTGCCGGAGAGCAACACTTGTGACCTTCCGAACTTCTTTATCCTTTATGGCGTCTGGCGAATCTTCGTTTTGCTCGTAGAAATCCCATCGACGACGCATCTCGTTCGCAAACAGGCCAGGAACTGTTTTGTATACGATCGACTGTAGGGTATTGTCGGCCACCTACGCAAAAGGGGCAATGCAACGCTTGATTATTAGTAGTTAAAAGGAGGCATAATGAAAACAAGTACTTTTATTTGTACTACTGAAGTTGTTGCAAATTTTAATTATAGAGCCATTTTTAATTTCAAATCGAATATTGTTGAATCTGTTTGTTACTAGTACACACCATGTGCAAATCCATCCGACTGCGGAAGACTCGCTGTTGACAGGTGGGACAAGCGCTGCTCGTGTCCAGATGTCTGTGGATGCAGCTTTTACAGAAAGAGTGCATACATCGGATGAGAGTCATGGCGTTCACGAGGTAGCCTTTGCAGAGTGCGCACGTTAGGCTTGGGTTAATCGAGGCCAAACTAGGCCGGTAACCCCCGTCAGTGCATGCCTTCGACATCCTGATTTCGGCCTGGTTTTGGCAGGGATGCGCGCCTTGGTTGAGCGCCCCACAACCAACTGACAAACCGATCAGCCAAATTCTTGCCCTTGTCTTGCTACCTGAACGGCAGCTTCTCTATCCGGAGTCCATCAGGCCGGCCACTGGCTGTAAAACAGGAACAACGTTCATGTTAATTGATGCCTGCTGGATAATTTCAAGCAGCTATTTAAATGGTAGCAGGCAGTATGACTATAGCTTCAATGACATACATAGACGCTAGCTGAGACTAGTCAAATCGCCTGACGTGTACGCACGTTTTATGTACATTGTTACAGCTGTACCGCAGTGTACTGATCACTCTGCCGTGGTGATATATATGCTAGGATCTGCATAATCAGCTACTGGGCATGATTAGCGTCCGATGGCGGCGAAAACGACGGCTCAGTTCTACTTTGTTAAGCCTAAGATTCTACCCTATCGAAATCAAACCTCGATTGAGAGATCCTTTAACAGAGATTATGTACGTCTCCAACACGTGGGCCCCATAATACCAGTCATATGTAAAAACAAAGGAAGCAACGACGCTTGTGGTCTTCTACGGAGGCTATTGTCTCGTCTTGCGAGCCATTCATTTTTCGGTGTTGAGGAGGCGCTAGATTGGTCTGGGATGACCTTGCGTTTTGCGCGCTTGAGTACCTTACTTTTGTCGAGTAGCCAAGCGGACGGCCCCACTCGTGCCTGATGCCTATCCGTCTCTGCGGTATGTGTTCTTTAGGTTCGACGTTCTTTTCCACCACCATTTCAATTCGTGCGGGCGCTCATTCCTTTCCTTCCCAATTTCTTCCTTCCTCAATGGCCAAGTGCTGCTGCTACCGCTGCTGCCCATTTTACCCCATCCTGTGCTAACGCTCAGTCAGCTAGCTCTTCAATACACATACAACATCTGACCCCATCTCACCTCACAGCTCCCAAAGTGCACCGAGCACCGAAAGATCCTACCAGCGAGCCAGCCCACAAGCCACCCAGCCAGGGAAAAAAGTGAGTAAGCGGACGGTCCATGCCAAACTTACACGCAACTCCCTGCCGCTGGAGGAATAGAGGCAGCTCTTGCCCATCCATATATAAGCTGGTAGACAACAACAACGACGCCCCGACCACCCCCCTTCCGCCTGCTGAGTTGATGCTGCTCGTGACGCAGTATTGGCCCCCACGCCAGTCGTGGCAGCCCACTCCCTGACGGGACGATAGCGGCGCCTATGATAGTAGTCGCAGTCCTGCTGCTGATGGGGAAGCAGTAGTGTTAGCAGTAGCGGTAGTAGCGGCTGTACAGCTGCTGCTGTTGCTGTTATTGGCGCAGCGTGAGGGGTGTCTATGTCAGCAAGCGAGTAAGAGAGGATAGAGGGGGAACGAGATGCGCGATGTGGTGGCATCAACTGGGGCTCACGCTGGGGTTAGGGAGCGGTGGGAGGGAAGATGACGGTGCCTCAAGTCCAGTAGCAGAAGTTATATGCTGCGGAAGAAGGCACCATCGCCATCAGTAGACGCCCTCATCCCTTGAATGATGTCTCCGGCTGGGGAGATCCCTAGTGCCGCACACTATCTGCCTCTGGGGTCCCTCCTAGATTTGCCCATCCTTTTTCCCTTCCTTCTACTTGCTCTGCGTGCTGCGCTGGCTGCTGCTTACTGAAGCTCGACTGATGCTTCCACTAGGGGCGCAAGTAACAGTGACAGAAAAAGAAGACAATCAGGCAGGGGTAGTAGCAGCTGCAAGCTAGCGAATAGCAGCAAGTTGAAGGAAGACGGTCCGATAGTCGTCTGATGACAGTCGGATGATCGCCGTCAAGAATTGTGACCGTGGTGTGGCGCTGACCACAGTAGCCGCTGTTGCTGGTTAGAAGGGGAAAAGAGCAACGCTAGAGGGGGCCACTATGGAAAGAAAGAAGTCGGCGTGCTGCTGAAATATCCTTTATAGCGGTGTCCAGAAAGAACTGCATTTTTCAAACGGTCTACAGTTTACCGTAACAATTATTGAATAACTATGTATTTCTCGAAAGCATTACTATTATGCTATTGTAGCATGCTATACAAATCTAAAGAGTTCTCTGTAGTTAAAAGCAGAGCAAAGTCTTCTCGTGAAGTTGCACCGTCAATAGTGAGTCCCTTATTTGAAAATACAAACTAGAAACTGTTGCCCATGGAAGCTTGCTGTCATGGCCTCTACTTGCCAATGTCTCGACCTATTTTTGACTTCTGCTTGCGACTATGTTGATAACGGATGTGAGTCTATAGCGAGCGGTTGTCTGCTATGCATATTGCTACAGGTTTACGTTCATTTTAGCGTCATCGTCGTTGGCGTTGGTTATTGCTCTTTTGATTGTTATTCTACGACTATCGCTTGCATAATCAGTGTTGTTGTTGTTACTGAAGTTTTTCACGTTGCCTTGCCCAAATGACGAATCTCGTTGACATTTGGTAGACCTGAAAACAGATCTGGGCAAGAGGTTGCAGCTACTGCTGTCGTCACAGCTCCAGAAGGGTTCACAGAAGCGACCAGAGAGCGAAGGAGAGAGAGAGAGCGAGCGAGCGATCGAACGGTAGAAAAGTCAGTTCATTAAAAACAGCCTGAGTGCGACATCTTAGTCAGAGGATCTCCGTGTATACTTGCCGTCCTTCTCTATTTTGCTCGTTTCGCTTGTCGTCTGTCGACTACACGATTCGATCAGTTTCAACTCTGCATGTAAAATAGCTATAGTTGATGCTTGCGATTGCGGTTGGAAGCGATCGGACAATCAAACTGCGGCGCCAGCAGCAACAATGTCGACACCGGCCGCTCGACAACGATCGCTAGAACCAACTAACTAACTAACCGGACGCGGCTGTATGAATCTCTCGGCCGTTTTTATAGCGGTTGTACAGCGTTTATGCTGATTAGAGCGGTAATCAATCTCTGCACAGCTCATGCTAGCATGCACACAGAAACAATTGCATGTAGTACAAGTAGAACTACCGTTAGCCCTCGTGGCAGCGACGGCGGTGATGCTGTCGCAAGTTATTTTAGCTGGACTAGTGTTGGCTGTGCTATTGTAAGCACATGTCTGTCCATCCGTGTGCGTATGAAATGTTTGCTCATATGCCTGTCGTCTGTGGTTCTGTATTTCTGTTTGAGATGATAGAACGCCGTTGCGCGACGTCGAAACAGTAATTGCCATGCCGTTGATACACGGGCTTCGATATAGCTCAATGACAGGGGCAGACAAGCGTACGCAGGGGCAGATTATGATCACAGGCGAGTATGCCGAGAATCGGACTACTAGTCGATGACAACATACCCGTCTACCTGCAGGTAGACGTGTTCCTATAATAGCTAGTGTACAACTAAAGATGCTGCGGCATACACACTGATGTTGTCTCCATAGAACTGTTAGTTTCGATTTGAACTTATCCCTAGGCGTTGCTGTTGCAATAGAACTCGCAGCATTACGGCTACAGCTGAAATCAACGGCGGCAGCAGTAGCCTTATGTAGTGCATAAGCGAAATGAAGTTTGTCTCTGGCTGTCTACCGGTTTGTCCGATTGAACCATTTGTTTCTGTTACTGGTGCAAGCGGCAGGCAGCGAAACTACGGGAAAGGAAGAGGGGCAGACAGAAATAAAAATACAGTGAGAAGGAGATCAGCTGATTGCCCCTCGAAAGCTCTGCCGCCGCCGCCACCGCCACTGCTGCTGCTGCAATTGCTGTCGGTGCCGCCAGCACCGCCGAGACTTTGCACAACATTAAAATCTGTAACGCTATTCCTGTCTAAATAACGTCGTGGCTGTGTGACATAATGGCTTGACGTTTCTTGCGCAAAAAAATATTGGTACAGATGAAGTCGTTCTTGATACGAGACGACATGTAATACTGCAGGCAACGAAGCTGTTCTTCATGCAGTCGAACCAGCCGTTTGCCCCAAACAACACTCACACGCACACGGAGAGAAATGGATCGCAATGGCCGATAGCACACAAATAGTAACCGAAGTGCCGTGTGTTGTGTAAAGCTCTCTTTGACAATACTAGAAATAATAATAATGTAGAAGCGGTCCAGCATCATCGTCATCACACTATTGTGTGACGATCTAGATAGGGTTTGAAGACAACTTGAGTTTATTGTATCGCGTCGGAGAATTCGCAGTTAAGCGATAGCTCTACCAGCCCCAACATTGAAGAAACAGCAACGGTCCCCACCTATCGTACAGCGTGGTGGTATCATCTAAGCAGCCTCAACACCGTCGAGTAGTACTGCGTAGACCGCTGGTTAACCGGCGGACTGACCCAGCTGCTGCTGGTGCTGCTACAGTAGCCGGTAAGAAAGCGAATCAGGAGCAGTAGCAGCTGAAGCCTTAGTCGCTCAACTAGTCAGCCGACATCGACAGAGACCGAACGACCCATGGAGGCACCACACGACGGCGTTAAAGGGGGTGGCGAGAACAATAAACCACCAAACTGGCTACGATGTGTATTCGATGAAAAACGGACACATATCGACGACATACTTGTCAGCAGATTGGTGCACAACAGACGACACGACTGGTGTGGCGTGTATACGCAACGTAAATCCGATATTTTGCGACGGAAAAGCGCGAATCACTTCACTGTCCGAGGCCGTCGTCGTCCGGCCGACATATTGGATTCCTGCCTCCGCACCCTCTTTGGAGCACCCCGTTTACATCTGCGAGTCACTACAATTCTGCGTCGAATATTTGCTGTGTTCTAGAGCAAATTCAACGCGTACAAACCTTTACGAAGCCAGCAAGCGATCCGGCGATGAGTATCCAGGTGAAGTTTCTAGCGGACAGCCATTATGGTGACGTTTCGGCGAAATACGGACGAACACAGACACACAAAAACTGACAGCGCTGCACTCTACCCTAATCGACGTATTATCCCGTTTAGGTACTCGCACTCACTGAATCCTCTGTTTCCGTCGCACTAAGTAAATCCATGATCGGCTATAGCTTGTCCGAATCTGTACGCCAGCGTCCTCGGGGGCTGTGCGGTGGCGCAAAAAGCGCTCTCGACAGCCACCAACGTCGACGCAGTGGTGGACAAACACCACAACACGGCGACGACGACGACAGCCCTCTGCTGCTCGATCGATCGTTCGTTCGTTCGCTCGCTCGCTCGGGCTGTGCGGCTACTATACCACTGCTACTATCGCCGACAGCAGCCACCGCCAGTCTGTGCTGCCACCCTTCCCGTGCTGCTGCTGCTGCTGCTGCTGCTGTTGCTGCTGCTGCTACTGCTGTGTGTATGCTGGGTCTCTTGTGCCAGACAGACGACGATTTGACTTTGCCCTAGCTTTCAGCTCGGCCACCAGCAGCTCGCCTGCTGCTGCTGCTACTGCTGTTGCTGCTGCTGCTGCTGCCACTGCTGCGGCTCACAACAGCAGTAGAAGCTGGTAGCAGTTGCTAGCGCTCCCCTGTCGGCCGACAAGGCGCTAGCTAGCGAGAGCAGCCAAGCGGAAGCCTATGGAACAGCAGCGCTCACCCCGTCAAAGCGGCCATAGGAGCACCGATGAGCAGCGGTAACAGCAGCAGTACCGCCATCGTTATCGTCGTCGTCGCCATCGTCGTCGTCATCGTCGTCGTCGTCATCGTCGCCGCTGCTGCCGCCGCCGCCGCCGCTCAAACCATCCGCTGGCGGCGCTCGTGATTTTAACTCCCCAGATGGCGCTAGCGATCGGCATCCCGCCCAAGGGAGGGTGGAGCCTCATAATCAAGTTGGCCGTTCCGCCACTCGCCCGCTTCGCTGCGCTCAATGATCACCAACCAAACGCGGTCAAATGTGGAAGAAGGCAGAGTCTAGGCGAGCCGCTATACTATCTAGATGCCGGCTACACGATACATGACCAGACAGCGATCCTGGCTGGCTGGCTGGCCGTCCAACTGGCCTCCCTGCAGCCGACAACGAAGGCGACTGCTACCGCCACGACGATGGATCGACGCATGGAAGGGCGAACGAGTGAAGCGGAACCCGACAAAGCCGACCCATCCCAATACAGCCAACCAGTCAACGACACAGACCCACACAAACACCTACGGCTCGCACACACTCGCACGCGCATAGATGGGTAGAGATGACCCAATCGTAGCCATGGTGTAGGCAGGCAGGCAAGCAGGCAGGCAGCAAACCGCCAGGCAAAAAGGAAACAAAGAAGGACGCACGCAACAACGGACGAAGCGGACGCACAGGAGGCGAAAGTGCGCTGACTGACACTGACTAACTGGCAGCTTCTGGTGGTCTTCCCCGCTGCTGCTGGTATCTGCGCCGCTGCTAAGTCGGTCGCGGTAGCGGTCGTGGTGGGTTGTTGTTGGGTCGTGCTGAGCTGTCTCTAATGCCCACGTTGTTCGCCTCGTCTCCGGCTGTGATAAAAGCGATTTTGATGCAATGAAGGGCGACTGGTAGGCTCGCTTTTTTGTCGAGTAATAGTAGCGCGGTTCTGTCACACAGAAGACAAGGCAGGGAATGGCAGGACGCTAGCGATACGCGGCGTGAGCCCGATGGCCGCACCACTACATCGAACTACTCTCGCTGGGAGAAATCGAAACAACTTAGCCAGGCCCCGTTCAATGAGTCTTGCGGTTGCATAAGTAGCTATAGGGGTGACGGGGGTCGCAAAGGAGAGCGACTAATGCATTACGCAGAGAAACTGAAAAGGGACGATTAGCAAAAATGATCATTTTGAGCACTAGGGGGCGTTAACATAGTCGCGACTGGCCAAAATAAAAAATAATACAAGCAATATTTCTTTGAATCATTTGTACATAAAGTCAATGTGCTATTGCATCAAGTGCTTTTGTACATTCTCACGCAGAAGAGATGTTGCGCCCTTGTTCATCATGTTGTTAATGCTTGGCCTTTTGTACTATAAAAGCCTAGGCTAGTTATAGGCGTCCACCAAGAAAGTTTGAAGACATTCACGGAACTGCGAACTTACTCGCATAAGGCTGATCGCGTTAACGTTCAGGGACTGCTGCAGGTTTGGTGTAGTTTATGAATTACCGTTTCACGAGCACGCACATAGAACGTTAATTATTTGTTACAGTTTGTTCCCTCAGTTGAAGCGGAACCTGCAAATAGAGCAGTTATGACTAGTTCAACTTTACCTTTAGCGTACATCTAGGTCAGCTGCAAATAAATATTGACTCGTCGCGCGCTCTATGTTCATTCACGGAATCCTTGAATAAAGGAGAACTACTTGGTTTTCAATAACAAAACGACCTCGTTAGCTCCTGGAACGCTATGCTAACATTTGCTATTTTAGGAAATCACTGTTATACATTTTGCCGAGAAAGCAGATCAAAGCGACTTAAGTCTTCGGAGTTTTTGGGTCCAAAACAAGTTGACTGGGCTTCTGGAGGGGAAGCGTTGCCCACCAACAAACAACGTTTGTTACATAAAGCCGATTTACACGTCCCACACCTTTGTCAGGTGTATATGATGTCTCTTCAAAGAGTTTTTTGGCACGTAGCACAAAGGAGCACAGATATCTAGTGGACGCGTGGACGGCAAGCTGACTCTAAAAAGCCTGCGCTCGGCGATCTCAAATAAGCCAAGCAAGGAAAACACTACAAAACATATTTCTGCGCGAGAATTTTGGGAGAGATCATCATCATCAATTCATGTTCGAGTGCCTCTTTACGTGTGAAAATAGAAAATTGAGTCGGACCTGATGGAACTCAATTTGACCTGAATTTTAGTCCTAGATTAGGTGCGGGACACAAATGGTTCCACAATATGTCGAGCCCCTTAGCCGCAGAAAGGACACACACATTTCTCTCGCATTGCAAACCTGTTGGTTACTTCGATCATGGCGACTGGCAATGTATTGCTAATTATTCTACGGATTATTTCAGATGTATGGAGGTTGGTTATGATCGACTAACAACTCGGCTTAAGAGGGCAGAAGTGTTAGCACGCACTATTGCCAGTATTATGAGCTATCACTTTACTGAACATAGGGTATCTTGGTCACGTCGGAACTGACCACTTCTGGTCGTACTGTAGCCTAGCTTGAAAAACAACTATGCGCTTGTTGTTACCGATACCGTTTCTACTACATGTTTAAACGTAGCTATTGGCTTTCCAATCTATTCAACACCTACTAATGGCCTAGATTTAGGAGCCGCTATATACGCGAAGCTTATACATACATATAGGGCACGAGCAAATGTCCAAGAACTTCTGAATAGGTTTTTAGACCTCAATACTATTTTGGGAAGTTGTGGAATGCACGACGAGTCCGGTTTTGTAACCATGAAACTTCCTGCATGTGTATAACTCTCTAACTATTCGCGTATTTATAGGGTAGCGTTGTTCTCTCGTAAGAGACATTTCTCTCTTCCAGACCTCAAGCCTTTGGCGGTCTGACGTTTCAGAAGGCAGATACTTCCTTGTAAGGAAGATCTTCAAAAGAAACTCTTTTCCACATATATCCGAAATCGAAGAGAAGCTGAAAAGATGCCTTACGACAAGTTGGCTCTATGATGCTCGCTCGTTATCGCTTGAGAAACTACCGAGACAATTGGCAACGTGTAACGCCCGACAAGCGGCCATTGTCAATGACGTGCATAATGAACAGTTTAGAGTTATGCTAAAGCACGAAATAATAAAAAAAAAAAAAAAAAGCAACGGAACGTAAATATTAATTTTCAGTTTTACATAATTGATACAATTCGAACACGATATCTCAAGGGCAAGTGAGTATATTGCTTGACTACTTAGGTTGACGCCTATGCTTCGAGATGTCCTCTCCTAAATTTTACTTTTTTTGTACCATCCAGATTGTCCATTTAGATTTAAATTGCACCGTGTAGAGTGTCTGAATGAGCTAGCCGCAAAATGGAGTGGCCTTTTTCACAAACAGCGGGTTGCATCCATTAAACAGGTGAAGCTTTAGAACGACGTTAACAGTATGATCGACGATCTCCCTTACAAACGGATTTTCAGGACATTTTCAGGACGCAACCAGTTGTGGCAGACAAAATCAAGTACGTTTTTTACCGGACCGTCAAACTTCACGATGACGAAGCTTGACTTGTGCGATCACGACCATATTGTGTATACGGATAATAACCAAACAAATATCACTTTGCTTCGACGTGGGGACGACAATTTTATAAACAGGAGTTCTTCCAACGACATGCTTCTCAAAATGAAAACGCTCTGCCTAAAAAATCGTTTTCTAGCCGACTCCCAGCAGTTATATGTCTGTGACAGCTTATAATAGACTAGAAGAGGACGTTCGATGTAAACCAGTCGAGTGTAAGATCAAACATAAATAAATATTCATTGCCTTTTTTTGTCATCTCTTACGCTGGACTTAGCTGGGTTTCTCAAACAGCCTATTCAATAGTAGGACAAATCGACGCAGTGCCTTCTAGAAATCAAGCCGGCGTTGTATTCATTGCTACCAAGATGATGACACGTAGAAGGCGTGTGCTTTTCGCGCAGTGCTTCTTTTTTGCAGTACTAAACACAGAACGCTGTCATTTGACTACTTAATAGTCTCAAGTGAAAAATTACTTTTGCCATCCTTGGAGAAGCACACCAAGTCGTTGTGCGGGTTTTTTTTTTTTAATTAACTCATTTGAGGTAGTGACAATTACAATTACGTTATTAGTCAGTCTTCTCGTTCAACCTTTTACCTAATATGCCCACGGGAAAGGAAACCTTTAACTCTGAATTACATTTCAGTAGAATAGACGGACGCATTGTAT